AATTATATGTTTTAGAGGAAGGAGTTGTATATAAAGACATTAATTTCTCAAAATTAAACTGAAAGAAAAATAGAGAAGGAACAACAGAATCCAAATCAAATCACAAAACCAAATTTCAAAGCAAAATTAGTCTCCCACTCACCCTTTTTGGAGGCTTGACAGTAGTTTCTTGGGTGTGGCAGTTAACTTTGACTGGCAGCAGTCATTTACAGGATGATATCAGTGGCTTTTGCCATGGCTTTTCAAGTCTAGACCATCTTTGAATTCAATCATCAGACCTTCTCCTCAAGTTTTGAAGGTGTGTCTCTCTATTTTGACTGCCAATTCTACTCTTACTGTAGAGGACTGAAGTCTCAATCCAATAGCCAGCTTGGGTTTAGTAACTCTGCTTTAGGATGTCTAGTTGAGGTAAAATATACTGCTGGGTCACCTTGTTAGATATTGTCAGAGAAAGCTTGAGCTGTGATTGCTGTGATGAGATTTTTATTGAGGTAACTATGACTAGAGGTGGATGATTAAATTGCTTAATTGATGTAGTTGATTATGTATGAGTAGAGTTAGGTGCCTTAATCAATCTATATGATATTCAATATCTGTGTGTGTGTGTGTCACGTGACTCTTAAACTGTTGGCCGCACTGAATTCTAAATGGAACGAAATGTATCACCTTGGTCCCAATGTTTGCATAAAGGTGAATCTTTTCACCCAACTGCTTAGGGAACCTGGGTATTTTGCATAAACATTTTTAAGAGGCATTCCCGAAAGCAGATCACAAATTTGGCATTGATTTACATTAGAGCATGTAAATAAGTAGGCCTATTAGTTGATGTTCGTAACTTAGTTAAAGAAATTAAAGTTGCATTCTGATATGGTACATTACATCTTCTCACATAAATAGCTATTCTTGTTCAGTGCTGTCCTCTATATGCAAAAAAAAATTTATGCATACCACAAGCCTTTTATCTTCCCTCCATTGGACTTGACTGATTCCGATGCGTCTCTCCTACAAATCATCATGTGTTGACCCTCCACCAATAAGAGTGTGACACACTCACCTGATGCATGTGACTCCCTCTATTCAATTCTATTGAACTATAGCTTCTCATTTGTCAGTACTCATGTTCAGATATTTTTTTATTTTGGTGCTCTTCATGTGAATTGCTTATTTATTTAATTTTTACAGGATTCCAATTGAGCATGAACACACCATGTTTTGCTTAGAACACATTGTTAGTTATAACTTTTGAAGTTACTATTACATTTTTACAGTCACAATTATAAGTTGTATCAACTCGAAAATATCAACATTGCTAAATATATTATTTGTATTATTTTTTGCACTCATTTATGAAAAATATATTGACCACACAAAAAAGAGGTTAGTTTTTTGAATTTGATATGTATTGAAAGTGCAATTCTTATTGAATATATCATTAAGGCGTAATGTATGTTACATCAATTTAAATGTGTAAGATAAGTCTGGAAACAAAATAAAACTTGATTAGAAATTTAGCTTTCCCATAATGAAACCAGATTCACATAGAGCAATCCAAATTATAAACAATGAATCTTTCAAAATGAATCAATTAACTTTAGGTAGAACAATGTTAGTATGACTTGACTGAGAATGAGATGGTTAGAGATTCAGTATTTCATGAATATCATACTCATATTAATTTGAATACCAGGTTTTTGAAACACTTAATTTTGACAAATTTTAGAAAATTATTATTTATCATATAACAAAATTCATCATTTGCACAGTATACCATTGTTATATGCATGAAGAACAGCTCTGTAAAGTTTAAAACTTCTGATGTCTAGATTACTCAAGAAATTTAGATTAAGAAAGTATTGTGCAGAATCAACCTTAGATTTTGTGTGTAGGAAAAAATTTCCATACTAAAAATAAATGTCCTGGAGCTTCTCGCTGTAAGTTGTGTTTTGGTTCATATTCTCCATCTGGCCACAAGTCATCTGGTAATGATCCATTCCCACTTTTCTGTAGTGGTTGCTTATTTCAATCACTTGGGTGGCACCTGTCTCGATTCCCCTGTATTCATATATTGGATCTTCTTTTTGGGCCCTCACAATCAATATTCATATCATTGTGTATCATGTTGTAGGTGCTTTTGCTCTTGTCACAGATCGGATTCCCATCCTGCCAAAATCTATCCGATGGAGTGATCTCTCAATCCTTTTGTTTTCCAGTGGCTTTAACTTCAGTGGGGTATTTCTCACATCAAAGCTTTTGCTATGTTCCTTAGCCACCAATTGTCTTAGTTTTAATCTCCTTTCCCTCATTGTCTTGCTCTGGATATCGATGTTTTTAAACAGGATTGGACCAACACATGTGTCTATCCTCCTGTACTCCTTCTCCAGATGATTTTAATCATCGTTGACACTCTATGTTCAATCCTTTTAATAGCTCTTTCTTGACCATCTCAGGTGTGATTTTCACAGCTTCTTTAGCTCCAACTTCCTCCTATGTTACCTTTTCCTCTGACTTCATTCCTTTTTCCTCATCCTCAGTCACTGGTGTTTCATCCAGACCTTCCTGCCCTCTATCTTCACACCTAGTTTTCCTCCAGTCATTAGTGAGGAGGTATGGCTTCTCCTGATGATTTAGCTTCTTTTTTGGCTTGTTCCATTTGCCCTTTATCCATTAAAATTTCTCAACACAAATGGAACATTTTCCGTTGTTGGTTTCTGGGTCCAGGGTCTGCTCCTGATCAGCCCACTGTTCCTCATCATGCAGATTTCCTCACTTGACTAGCTTTATAATAAACAAGTGGTCATTACACAATATAGCACATACATTTCATTGTGAAACACCATGTAATAGCTTGGAAAGAAAAAGATTGCCATTTCCTTTATATTGTTGATTTAAATTACAAGTGATTGCATTAACTACTGGTGATGGCAGTTAATCTCGGTCATGTTGATCAGAATGTTGGTATCTTGGCTTACTGTTCGTTTTACCTTGCACCTTCTCTCTAGGTACTTCCTTATCTAAATCGTATTGTGCAGTGAGATAAGAACTCTCAACATCTTCCTTCTCATCAGCTGAGTTTAGATGATACAAGACAGTATCCTCACTATCTCCTGGGTCATCAGTCTCAACCTCTGATAACTGGTCTAACCAGTACAAGAAAGGCTTGTCAGCATTAGTTAGCTTAGCTTTTCAGTACGTTTAATGCACTTATGCACACCATGCAACAGCTGTAACTCGTAGTTTGATAGACCAAGCTGTAGGAGGATGAGATTATGATCTGTCCATCCAGAACTGTACCAAAGCCACACCCAATTTTTATGCTGGAATGTTCATTCCTAAGATGTTTTATCATAGTATCCCTTCTAATATGTGGCAGCATTTCCAAGATATTGATGCATAAACTAATGCTGGTCAACTAACACAGGCCATAACCACTTTATGTATTCTTGTGGACACTGTGGGATGTCTGCTTTAGGGGGCAGATTATACATCCTATCCACAGGGAGCTGTATTTCTTGACCAAACATGAGTATATTTTGCAAACAACTACTGAATCTATTTTTTTGCACAAAATACCATCATGCCATATGCTATGTGTTTGTCCTAGTTAGTATTAAACAACTTTACAAATACATTCTTGATAGTTTGTATTACTAATTCTGCCAGATCAACACTATACAATTTGGAGAATAACTTTCTAATGAAATTAGTTTCCTGAACCATGTGAATTGATTCAGGTTACTAAGTGTGCTATCCAGTTCTTTGCTAAAGCAACAATGATAGTCTTAGCTAATGTATTAGTGAAGCTGTCGTAAATAACCAGCATATACCAGTTACCTTATTCATTCTCTGAGTCTGAGAGGGGACCAATGGTATCCAGGGATATTCTGTATAAAGAGTACCAAGAATTTTTTGCTGGAGTTTGTTCTGTCTATCTGGATTTTCCATTGTTCAGCACAGACAGTACAATGTTTACACCACTGTTCAACATCTTGACTTGAATGTGGCAAAAGCTTTAGCTTATTAATGAAACACACATATGTATAAAATCTACTGGTGGTATTAAGCCCATTAAAATATTGATTTCTTTAGCTTCAGTATTTGTTGAAATTAGAGGAACACAATAATCTGATGTTTTTGTTTTATAAATTACAAATATTAAGTATTTAATAAATAATATGACTGGACTATTTTATTTATTAATGTAATTAACAGTATGTTCAAAGTACTACAAACCTGGAGTTAATCTTCATTTAACAGCTTGGTATTTCATTGTTTAAATAAACTTAAATTGAAAAGCTGTTGATACAAACAAAACAGAAATGGTACAAAATTGCAATTTGCCATCAGTTCGGGAATGTTTCAGGTTACTGGAATTTTAATAATGAATAGAATTTTCATCTAGAAAGTATGATAAGTAATGTGAAGTATTCTGTTTATATCAATAATGTATTACAGTTTTTGTATATGTGTAATTAACCATAATACAGTAACAAATGTTCTGCTATGTACATGTAATAGCTTGCTGTACCTACCAGTTCCTGAACAGAAAGAAGTTCTAAATGTCTTAAGTATATTTGAATGCTGTAAGTCTTCATTCAAAGAATAAATTAATATACAAGTAAAAATATACTTGACATTTATAAATACTATTGTGCTGGATTTTGTCATTTCCTTTTTTCTCTCTCTCTATGTTGTGCTTATATTTGTATCTTTTAGGTGTAAAGGTTAACTTACATATAAATAAACACAATTCACTGTCACAGTATAGCAAAGTTTAATTCCACAAAGAAATGCATTTGAAAACTGATGTTTTGCAATTTTCTACGTTCAGTTGATCTCTTATGTTATATGTAGCAGTTGAAAGAACAGTACATCTTATGTTGTTATATTTTTTTAACAATGTGAAATATGTACTCTTATTTTTGTTGTCTAATGAATAATCTGATAATATTGGTAGAATTTTTTATGTAAATAAAATATTACTAATATTTTCTTTTTAACAGTTAAACTCTTCCAACAGTTATCTAAAGCACTAGAGATTCTGACAGATGGCCCAGCAAGAGTAAGTCTCTTTGTTCAACTTTGACAGAAACTTTTTTAACTTATATGTTCCAGAATTATTTTAAATTACCAATAATTTATTTACTTATATTTTGCTTTCTGTAATATGGCCTTTGATATTTCAAGTTAATATCAGGGTTCAGTGTTAACTTTTGATATCACCAGACCAGTCAGAGCAGTTCTTTAAGAAATTACTAACCCTGACCTTAAAATGAATTAATCAACACACATACTTTGTTCTTAGGTGGTAAACATAAAAAGTGTATCTATTTTGGAAATGTCCATTGTTTTCTATTGAAATGCTATTCACTATATTATGTGTCTTTTTAATCACAGTTGTGTTTCCTTATTACTGTTTCCATTTATCAAATTACAAGGATGGAATAGGTTGTTTTGTGTAAATGAAAAGAGGTATTTCAATATATATCTTTATTAACAGTAAACTTCTAAAGAAATAAAAATCAATTATCCAACAGTTTTTTCATATCTCTCTTGATTGCAATATTTGTACCAACACTGGTGTAAAAATAAGTATGATAAATAAAATGCAACCTAAAAATTACAAAAATAATGCTATTAATCTTTATACATGATATTCAACACTTAGCAACCTTCAGAAAGTCACTACACATACATATATTTACATATCAGAAGGGAAAATAATCATGTTTTTTTATTCATCAAACTGAAAATAAAAAATAATTACATATTAGGACATGATACATTGGTAGGAAACTCAAACACAATATGTAAAAGTCCATTATTAAACAAAGAAGATGAATAAAAAACAGCAAAGAAAACAAATACAAAGTAAATAAAAGTAACAAATGATAATTATGTTATCATTCCAGGTCAAGGAAGTTAAGAAAATTTGCAAAAGTATTACATACTATTTGGTATCTTTGATCATGCTCTACTTTGGAACATCTGTGAATTACAGAATATTTTGAATAACGTTTGAAAATCATAAAATGGTCGAGAATGTTGTAATAATTTTAAGGTTCATTTAAATTCCTATGATGGAATACTTGGAGAGAGTGATGTGACTAGACAGAGGTAGAACTGATGGGGTCTATTGCACATGGAGGCTGTGTAACCCTTCTACTGGTGGAGGGTATCAGCATAATGATAGTACATTATATACTTGCACAGACAACCTGTAGGGGGTTTGAGTTTTTTTCTAGGCTTGTGACAGCATAGGAAATTAATAAGGAAGCTTCACAAGGAATTGTTCATTACTGATACAGAGAGGTAACATAATGTCTCTGAAAATAATTGTGCAGTCGTAATTGTGCCGACCAAAATGATCTTCAACTATAGTCTCGTTCTACTGATCCCTATTACCTGTATGTAATAACCCAGATAATAAAACAATAAATTACAATATGAGCCATTGTACTGTTTCTGACAAAACACCTAGTCTGAGAAATATGCAAAAGTCTCGGTTATATCTCAGTAAAGTAATGAGATTGGAGTGAAATTTACATTATGGCTTAGAAATATTTATAGTATGAAGAATTTGTGCCAAAATTGGAATATCTAGGGGTAGAAAGAAAACATCTGAAATGGGCAATTTGGCGAGCACATGTGTAACATGATATAGAGAGGTGAAGATTGAGATATTAAATATGTTCTTCTGAAGTTAAGAAGGTAAAACTTGTATAATATTAAGACTTGAATGATGTGCTATGTTTTGATGCTAAGTTTATTGACATACATTCATAATATAATTGTAATAAAAGGTCATGAGATGCACACTCTGCAGTTGAGTAGAAGAATAACACCTGTTCAGTAGACAAACTTATAATCAAATAGTAAAACTGGCCTACAAAGTACAAATCTGTAACTGAGAGTACCAGTATTGTGTCTAATAAAATGATATTTCAATTGCTATATATTACATAAGTATATAATTACTGTTTACTTATAAAAACTTATATTGTAGCTATTGTGGTTGAAGCATTTAATTGCATAAAAAATATGCATAAACAATGATTTCTAGTACTTACAATGTTAGGAAATCCACTTGCACTTGGGAGATAGGAGATGTGGTTGCCAACCCTCACACTAATCTTCATTGATTCTCTTAAACTGAGGCAAACACACAAGTTAATTTTTGTTAATTTTAAATGTGAATTTTAGAAAACAAGATTATCACTCACTAGAATATGACATCACAAAACTACTGTAATTTACCTGGCTTTTTAAGTAAGGTATAAATAGGTTAAAAATTCATGTCTGTTTGAAGAAATGATTTTAGTAAATATACTTCAACATTTCTTAGTAAATATCACTTTTCTTTGTAATAAAATTGGCAAACCATCTTACTTGTGTGGCTTAGAATCTCCTCTTTCTAATTGGTTATCAGCATGTACTTACAACAGGTAGGTGTGAGTAAATAAGTGGCTTCTCTGATTGGTTTGCTAAATATACACCTGGAAAAAAGTTAAGCACCCCCGTGTTTTTTTCAAGTGATTCAGATTCGACGTTCTTGTGACTGATTATAAATTACCATTCAATCTAAACGTGTTTATCAAATGGAATTAT